GGGGGGGGGGGGTTGCAAATTCGGGTTTTAGATATTAATTTGATGTCGGATTTCAAAACTAATTACATAATTGGGCTCGGGGGTGAATGGGTAAATTGGTTTTGGTTCGAACCTCGGGTTTTGACCAAGCGGGCCTGGGGTTGACTTTTTTTTTTTACTTTTTGGGAAGGGTGTAAAAATCCTATCTTTAAGTATTGTAATTGATTTCCTTAGCATTATTTGACGTTATCGAGTCGATTGCGGTTAGATACGAGTGGTTTGGAGGTGGATTCTAGAGGAAAGGCCTTGGTAGAGCTCTAAGTTGACTGAGGAGTGAGGTAAGTGTCGTGGTTAACCTTAACTTGAGGGATTAGGACTTGTTTGCCTATTTGCTACGTGTTTAAATGTTTGGGTACAACGTATATGTGAGGTGACGAGTACTTATGCATTGTTGTTGGATTAAAGCATGTGGGTTGGACTTGTCTCTTGTAATTTATATCCTTCTTTGTTTATGATATCCATGCTTAGACTAGTTTATTACTTAATTGATCGCTCTTTCCGCATTTACGAACTATTTGTGATAATTTAGTATTTTTTGAAGTTGAGGTTTGGTATTGTGGAACCGTTGTTGACGTAAGGTTTATTCATGCTTATTCTATCTTCCAAATGTTATATATTCATTGCTACATGGTAAGGGAGGGTGTTAAAGCACGAAGGGTGATGCCGTGCCGATTATTGTTTCATTATTGATTAATACATAGTGAGGAAAAGAGTAAAAGCACGAAGGGTGATACCATACTGTATTTATTATTTCATGATGAAATTAAGAGTAAAAGCACGAAGGGTGATGCGGTGCCGTATTTATTATTTTATGGAGAGATTAAAAGTAAAAACACGAAGGGTGATGTCGTGCCATTATTATTGTTTCATGGTGAGGCTGAGAGTAAAAGCACGATGGGTGATGCCGTGCAGTCTTTATTCATTATGCTTATCCGTTTTCATTGGTTGAAGGTTTATTGACTGTTTCAGGTTGTCATTTCCTGTTGTAGTTACCATATTTTGTACCCCATTTTGCATGTCCCCTCCCACTAGTACGTGTTTAATCTCTATTTGCTATTATGTCGTATATATATTCTCGTTTGTACATGTGTAATTACGTGAGTGTCCTGTCATAGCTTCGTCACTACCTCATCGAGGTTAGGCTCGGCATTTACGGAGTACATTGGGATGGTTGTACTCATACTACACTCTGCACTTCTTGTACAGATTTTGGTACTGGTCCTAGCTGTACGTGAGGTGCATCAACTCGAATTGGCATACTTGGAGACTCGAGGTAGATCTGCTGGTGTCCGAAGACCTTGAAGTCCCCTTCCTTTTTCCTCTTTCACTGTTCATTTCATTCGAGACAGTTGTACTTATTTCAGACTTTATTTGTAGAACTTCTAAAAGCTCGGGCACTTGTGACTCCAGATCCGTGTTGTACTTAGATATTATTGGTTATTATGCCACTTCGTATTTCGTTTAGTTTCATTTTAGTTTAATTGGTTTTACTTATTTGAATTGTTCAAAAACTGGCTCAAGGATTTCTCTAACGTTGGCTTGCCTAGCAAGTGAAATGTTTTGCGCCATCACGGTCCCGAAAATAGAAATTGGGTCGTGACACCGTCCAATCATCACTTCAACAAGTCCATAAACACTACTCGGACCTTTCCAAAGCCTCCAAACACATACAATATCATAACTTCAACGAATCAAAGGCTAAAACGCAAGTTGAATATGATATCAAAGGCTAAAACGCATACAATATCATCACTTCAAACCAAGCGTCTCATTCAAGCTTAACCAATCCAAATTACAACCAAACTTTTCACACAAGTCCCAAATGACAAAAGAACCTATTCCAACTTTCGAAGCAACAATTTGAATATGATATCATCAAAAGTTAACCTCCGGTGAAATTTAGGAACTCTCAAACCTTCAAATTGCCAACTTTCGGCAAATAGCGTCAAAACACCCTAGGAAACTCCAAATCCAAATCTGAACATATGCCTAAGTCCAAAATCACCATACGAACCTATTGAAATCATCAAATCACCAATCTGAGGTCATTTACATAAAAGTCAAACTTTAGTCAACTCTTACAACTTAAGCTTCCAACAAAGGAACTAAGTGTTCCAATTCACTAGAAAACATTCCCGGAACCAAACCAACAATCCCCGCAAGTCACAAAACAACAACCAAGCATACAAGAATCATCAAATGGAACGGGATTCAAATACATAAAACGACCGGCCGAATCGTTACATCGATATCTAGTGGGATGAAATTGTTGAGAACCGTCACCATGTACATCTGAGTGGTTATGCTTAATTATTTTCTGGCGGTGGATTTCGGATATATAAAGATTCCTAGAGTGGAAAGGGTTTGTTAGGGGCTCTCAAACTCTCTTATTTTTCTTTCTTACGTTTCCGTTGGAAAGTATATGTCCTCTATGATTTTGAAACACGGGATATAAATTTAAGATTCTCTTTGATACTGTGGTAAAGGCTATGGTATCGTCGATCAGACAAGTTTCCAGTTTGCAATCTTTGTTTATTCCCCTCTCTCTCCATCGCTCCCTATCTCTCAACTTTCTAGTTATATTCTAGACAGGGTCTTGGCCTGCGTTGATTGATGACTTTTCGAGCACATGTATTGTTGGACACTTTCGTGATATCAAGAAACATAACTATTTTTCTCAATCTGCTATGAATTGGTCCTGCTTATACATGTTACCTAAAGAGTGTTTCACTGCCCTGTGGGCTATGTCTTTCTACCAGTTTTTTTGGGGCATGCATAGAAAGTTAAGATTCTAATGTTGGGTTGTTACTAATCAATTGTAACATTAATACCTCACATGTTATATGAGGGATCAAGAAACTTCGGATTGAGCCTGTAGACTTGCTCTCAGCATTATGAAGTAGTTCATGACTACAACAGCTCTTTGGCTCTTTCCCATGGATACTGTGATGCATGATTAGATGCTTCATATATCGCCTATCCGTTCTGCGTTTATTAGTAGATGAAACATGGTAGAGTGATTGTGCAGCATTGAGCCAATATTACTCCTAGCTTATAATGTAACTACGGTGATTCATAAATCCAGCAATTCGAGTACACCCTTTCAGGTAATGTCTCACTGCTGAGGATATTTACATGCACTGCACGTATATCCCATGATAATTCGTATTAAAATGTATCCAAGAATCTATATTCACACTGAATCATCAAGCTTATATATCCCTAAGTACTGGTGCTTCAGTAGATTTTTGAAGGAAGAGTTAAGATCATCGCACTAATATAAATCATGGAGTGCTCTGGGATTACAAAATCAATTTCATTTCAGAACAGCTATTGAAACACTATAGATCCAACAAATGAAATTGTATAATACAAAGTTTAAAAATGTTGTATTATCTCTATCAAAGATGTGTATGTACCAGTAACAAAGATTAGGATTCCCATTAGTACTGTCAGGCCTATTATGACTATCTCAAATCTAAGCTTTCTGTAAGTGCCTGAAATCTTCAAGTAGCATAAACATGGTAGCAAAATTGAAGCAGTGACACTAAGAAATGCTCCAACTAGTGACATGAGATACCCAAATAATGGTATGGTCAGCGCAACAGCAACACTGCTTATCACCAAGATGGTTCGAATCAGGAGGCTAAATGACGATGATCCTTTATCATTGTGAGACTGGAAACGTTCCTCGAGTCTGTTGATAATTGGTGTCATCATTAGTGCGTACTTGGCTATCGGATTGATCAAGGCGGTGTATATAGCCAATTTCGAGCTAAACTTTTCAGTTGGAAGGTTCAAGGTAATTTGTGACTCGACGTCGGAGCCAAACATTGAATACCCCATAGCTGCTATCGATGCATAATTTATCGTAGCGAATGAAAAGCACAGAAGCATTACCTGAAATAGAATTACCGCAGGTCAGCATCCAAATTAAAGTAATGCAAATTTGTCTAATTAATTAGGATCATATGTTGGTCTAGTGTGTAATGTGTCACCTTGGAGAAATGCTTCTGATTTTCCATTGAAGTGTACAAAGTTGGAAAAACAGGATGGGCACAATAGCAGAAGGCGTATAAGCTAAAAGATGTCGGGATTCCTCTCCAATTCAGAATGACTCCCCTTTTATGAAAGCCGATACCATCATAAGTTGCTACCCAGAAAATTGAACCAATAATAACAAGGGAAGCTAAAACTGCAGAGGCTGATACATATGCCAGAATGCTCATGTTCTTTAACAGTACTGTGGGTAATATGACGAGAGCAACGATCAATACAAAGCTTTGTTTCCCACCAATACTGAGTCCCCAAAAACAGAAATTTGCCTCTGGCAACAGATTATGCAAATTATCCCCTGCAAGAATTAGAAAACCGGTTGCCACCAAGTAAAGCTCAAGATTCATAAAAACCGATACCAATATTCTTCCTGCTTTTCCAAATGCTCGATCTCCAATGTCAGGATAACTTCTTATAGTAGGATCAAAATCCATACATCTCTTGATTAACAAGGATGTGTAGAAGGTCGCACATGCAATGACGACAAGAAGAATCATGCTTAACCACCCTCCTGAAGATAGCGCATATGGAGTTGACAAAATTCCTACTCCTGAAAAGAGAAAAGTTATACTAATAGGTTTAAGTCTCCAACAAAATCCATGTGTATATTTTTTTTCTTGAAAACTAGTATCACACAGAAAATATAATCTCTTTCTCTTTTCAAAAGAAATTTCAGCAGATCACCATCATTTAAATTTAGTTCTCACCCTACATTCAATTAGAGAACACTTAAAGAAAGATCACCAAATTAATTTAATGTTCATTTCATAGTGTCATGTAAAGTATATGAAGCACAAGAAAGATAACGTCTTGTTCTGTACCACATGAAATTGTCTGTTGTCGATTCAGACACTCTAACTAAATTTAAAATTTCTGTTTGATTTCGACATTCTAATTAAATTACATGATTCTCTAGCGCTAATGTATTTAATCGTACGTACTTGCCAATAATGGGAGAAAGAATCAGCCATAACACCACATGTTCAAGTACTATATTGAGCATAGATTTTGAGTACTAGGGGAAGATAATGCCATAATTTGAAAGGATCGAGGTGAACGTAGGGAAGAAAACATCGGCGATCTGATACTATTTAACAAATTATATTTTTTTTGATAATATTGTAAACATTTAAATGAGCTAGATATATAGAAAATATACATTACATATAATAAAAACTACTTTACACTTGAAATTTGCAAACAAGAAATTCCTACAAATGTAATTATCATATACCCATCAAATCTAGATAACGAAAAAGACAAGCAATGACCTTCAACAAAAAGACGGGAAGATCTGAACCAGTAAATTATAAATAGCCATCCTACAGTGAATGGATGAGATAAGGTTGGTAAGTCCCATGCTATTTCAGTTATTATGGTATTTCACGGCCTGCTTTTTCCTGGATCAGTATAAATACTTTTTATTAATTCACTCTGTCAACAACCTTCAATCCCAACCAAACAAGTTGAGGTCAGAATAAAAATTTTCACTTCTTCATTTAAACTCAACTAATTTATCGTCACACCAAATAAAAAAAGTAAAAAACTAAGTTAAATAATAATAAAATTTTTCTAACATCACTAAAAACCTATTTCCTACTAGTAGATTTACGGATTTTTTCAAGCTATGAAAAGCAATATTTTTGTTCAGAAGACGACAGAGCGATGATGAATTCAGTTATTCAAATAAAAACCGTTCTAGATCGGCCCCATAATGAAATTAAGTAAAGCCAGATAGTAATGGCAAGAATTGATCTGAGTGAAGAATTACAGTTCTCAACAATCACATACAAAAAGACTACAATGCTAAGAAAGAACAGAAGATAAATGAAAATTTCCACAAGAAAAGAAACACACACACACACACACAAGAAAAGATAAAAGAAAAAGAACCTGATAGAGCGTTGAGTCCATGAGAAGCCGTTTCCAGAAAAGAGGTTTTTCCGGTGATAATAACAGAGTCCGATGTAACTCCTTTCTCAGCTCTATCAAATTGATCATATTCTGACAGCAGGGGCAAATAAAGAAATTTGCCATTCTGGGATTTGGTCTCCATTTCCCAGAAAAAAAGTTGGACCTTTTAAGTAGGAACAATATCTGTTATGAACCAAACATAGTGATGGCACTACTCTATTTATAAACTACTACTATTTACTTCTGCATGGAAACAACCACTTGTCAATTTGACACGTTCTAAATGATAAAAAGAATATGGATAAGAGGTTGGAAGTCAGAGGATTATATATAGGATTTAAGTTAGACACATTATTTATTTATTTTACATTAATAATTAGTGTAATTTAATATGTAATAGTATATTAATTTATTTTTCAAGTTACTAATTAATGTTTATTTAGAAAGATTATCTGTAATTATTTATGAATGGAAGCAACCCACTTGTCACTTCGGCACGTTGTAAATTGACGAAGTGTACGTTAACCTTTTTATATTATTAGATCACCTGACAAATAAATATAAGTAACCATCCATAAAATATGGATTAGTAACTTCAAAAAATAAAACAAATTATTTGTTAGAATAGGTTGAAATGTATTGATGGTGTAAAATTTTTAAAATGATTAGTGTATATATGTTAAATCTATTGAGAATGGAAGAGGGGATAACGTGGTTGGAGGTTGAGAATTTTTATAAAGCAGCATATTTTAGTTGTGTCTTTTACTTTTAAAAGGCTTTCTGAATTTTGTCGTCTTTTGCTTCTTCTTATATTCTTCGCTGTCGTCTTTTGCTTTCCACTTGTTCTAATTCAGGAAAACATGCAGGGTTCTTCATACTTTTGTACCATCAGTGAGATCGACAGAATTTAATTAATACTGGAAGTCATAGTCATACTTTTAATTTCATCTTTGGACATCTTTTGTCCCAGTTGATTTAAAGCATTTAAAGGTTAAAAGAAAATAGCACCTTATAGTATACGGAGGTCTATTATTTATTTTGCGGAGTGGCTGTTTACATGTTAATAGTTTAATACTGGAAAACAAATTTCCGCAAACAATTAAGTAATTAATTGTTGAGAGTTGAGTGGGCAAGTTTTGTTCGTAAAACATGTAAGTACTACTGTTTCACTTTAGTTGCGAAGATTGTCGCGGCTTCTATTATTTATTTATTTTATTGGTTAGGGATAAAATGGTTTTGGCTGATTTTACAAAAATAACTTTTGTTGCCTTATATTTTGAAATTAAAATTAGTTTTTTGGTCTGAAATTCAAAACTGGCCAATTATAAGTACAAGGCCACGTAAGCGGCCACCTGATGCAAATAACACGAGCGTCCTACCGAGTGCCTTATTTTCACGGTGAATGACATATTTACCCACAAAAATAAAACTATTTATCTTTATCTATCCATTTATTTTTTTACCCATCAAACTAATTACATTTCCTACCCATGGTAGTTTTTGTGGGAAATTTTCTCTTTTTTCTCCATTTTTTTTATTTCAATGCTTCTTTGCTATTTTCCTTTTTTCTCGTTTTCTTATAATTTTTTTCTTTTTTCTGTTTATTTATATATTTTTGCCAAAATCGTATTATTGTTATTTTTACCATAATTTATTTCACACTCAATTTTGACTCCTTCTTTATTTATTTTCTTTTTATTTATTTTCTTTATTTCTTGTTCTTTTTCTAATTCCACGTGATTGCCATGCAAATCGTGATCTCCTTCCCTACAAATATCAGTACACACTCTACCATTAGCAGTGACACAACCAGTTATGGAGCAAAACATAATCTACGGCAACCAAATCTCCATATATACTAGTTAGAATAGAAATGATAATAAAATATTGAAAAATACAATAAAAGTATAAGTAGCAAAAAAGACTTCTAGTACCATATGATACCAATATGGTATACATGTATACCAACAGAGTATATGATTGCTCTAGAATATTGCTACAACTATCTGCGACTATATTACTGTACCAAAACATTAAAGGATGCAATAAGAATATGAGAAATTACATGCTCATATTGCAAGCTAAATATTCGTAAAGCAACTTGCTCATTCCGTATACTAACATGGTATATAGTTGTATGTGGTCGTTCTAATAATTTTCTATAACTATAAAAATTATTACATAATACATATAATCTATGTCCATCGGTACAAACAAATTCCAGCACTACAAATCATGTTCATATAAATAATTCAAGAATAGAATTCACTTAAAATATAGCTAAAACAACCAAAAAATGTTCAAACTACCATATGATACCAATATGGCATATAACTATACCAATATGGTATACAATTTTATTAGTTAATTTCTGGCAACTATATGACTATACTACTATTACATAACACACATGCATAAAGAGAAAAATAAAAAAATAGTGTACCACTTATTAATATAATAAAGTATTTCAAGATATTGTACTATATTACTATTATTAAAAGAAAATCAAATAGTGTTCCAATTAAATGCAGTTAATACAACCAAAAAAGGATTCAACTGACATATGATACCAATATAGTATATAGCTATACTAATAGGGTATATAGTTGTACGGGGTCGTTCCAACAACTGCATATAACTATAAAAACTATTACGTAATACACAGAATCTATGTACATAGGTACAAGAAAATCCAACACAGCAAAATATGATCGTATAATTTATTTCAGAATAGAATTCACTTAACAATGTAGGTAAAACAACCAAAAAATATTCCAACTACAGTGTGATACCAATATGACATATAATTATATCAATAGGGTATACGGTTCTACTAATTAATTCCAGGCAACTATATATGACTACACTACTATTACATAATACACATGCATAAAGAGAAAAATCCAAAAAATAGTGTACCACATATTAATATAATAATATATTTCAAAATATTGTACTATAATACTATTATATAAAACAAACGCATAAAGAAAAAATTAAAATGATTACATAATACATATGCATAAAGGAAAATAATAAAAAATCAAGATATTGTACTATTCTACTATTACTAAAGAAAAATCATACAGTGTACCAATTAAATGTAGCTAATACAACTAAAAAAGGTTCCAACTAACATATGATACCAGTATAGTATATAGATATACTAACAGGGCATACAGTTGTAAACTAAGAGTTTAAAAAAAGTTTTTTAATTCAATTATTAAAGTGAATTAATATCAGTTGTCACATAATCTAATTAACTCAATTTTGTGCGTCATTGATTATATACCATTTTGAAATGGAGAATAAATTAATAAAAATTATTCAATGGACAAGTAGATCCTATTATGAAATGAGAAAGATAGAAGAAAAATGTTTATTTATATTTGAGAAGACAATAAAAGAGAAAATAGGTTGGGGCAATTAATGAGGTTTCACGTGATCCGGGATTAGAAAGGAAAGGATTTTGAAAATAGGTAGTTGGGTAAATATTTTAGATTGCATAGGTACACATTGTAAGATAAATTAGAATGTGCGGTAACAGGTAATTAATATTAGATTTCATACTTATTCACAAAGAGAAAGTTATAGGTTTAGTTAAAAGGAAATATGCATGGTTTAGTATGCTGAGAAAAACAAATTCAAGTAAAAAAGAGGAATGGGTAGCCGGCAAAAATAGATTTTGATGAATAGGTAGAGATTGTAATTAATTCCTAAATAGACAAAAATGGGTAATTAGTTTGTGCCTAGTAGGCAGATTGTGTAATTCCCTCTATTTTCATGGCTCTAGTATGAAACTTTTGGTTAATGATAAAAGAATCCCACCATCCTAACACTTTCCTTTTCAAGATTATGCATTTTGACATTTTTGGTTTTCCATGTTTTAATATACTAATTCTCGGACACGTGTATTGTATGCATATCTCATGCTAATTAGTATAAATATTTTAATAAAAATACTGTAATTAGAGTGTAATGAGTCGCGCAAAAATTAAAAAGAAATAATGCAAGCTCAAACTAATGAATGATGAGCCTATTCAACATATATTTATTATTATTGTAAGGCACAATCATATTAAAAAATTGCTATCAGAAGAATTTCAAAAGTGACATTCGAACAACTTCAATTATGCAACTTCTTATAATATATCAAGTATTCAACTTTGTAGTAATTGCTCTTTTAATATGCGAACAACACATGATATAAATGTCGGCTATGGTTACAAATGTTTCATGTAAATAATTTTCCTTCTTTTTAAGAGACTGTAGCCTTCACTTTTTTACAGCCGCATATATATCATGAATATTGTATTATGAAATATAACACAATCATGTATCAGATCCTTGAAAAATATACACCATATTATATTAGGATAAATAATATTGTATGGGCCAAAAATTATCTTAGCCAACCACGTCAGTACTAAGAGAGCCTTCGAGGGCTGTCACGTGTCGTCAGTATGATTCCAACAAAAGACAGATTCAAGGTCGAAGTGATATGACAAGAGATGAAAGACTAGGCCGAGGAGTCAACAGAGATCAAGGTCGAGGACGAGCACTCTCCTCAAATAGAGTAATAACAACTAGTTTTGGGATAAGACTTTAAAGAGAATATTCTAGTGAATATTCTCTGGATTTGTACTACTAGTGTTTTGTGGCACATGTCCCCTTATAAATAGAAAGAGACATAGTTATAGGGAACATGTAACACATATTTGTAAGACAACATATTGATATTCTCTGAAGATTCTTGCTTTATTATACCCATACAAAATATACCTTTTTTTAAGACCCTTTTCTAACTTTTCTCCCACGATCTAAGAAAAATCCAAATATTCAAAGACTCATCAATCATTCATCATCGTCAGAAAGAATACCAAAGAATCTCATCCTTTTCGGGTGACTCACATGCTTTTATTTACTTAAATGCTATTCATTGCTATTTATTGTTATTTAATGCTATCTCTTTCATTTTTGGATCATCGAATATAACAGCGTTGTCACCATTTATTGCTACTTAGATAATACCCGTATTATCTTGCTACAAAATTGGTTAATATATCTTTTGGATATTAATATTTGTTAAGGTTAACTCTATTTTATTAGAAAATCTAATTGTTTAAACCTAGATCTAAATTTTAGGTCAAATAGTTTGGCGCCGTCTGTGGGAATTTCTTAGCTAATCTTTTAGTTTCCATTAGATCTATA